AGCTCATGATTACTGTGATTTTTTTATCCCTGAGATGCAAGATCTTGTTTATTCCTTCCGAACCAGTGTATATTATTTCACTACATGACCCAAGGATTGAACCCAGACCGAAAGTTCAATATTCACTTGAGGCAATTTTACAATTTCAATTTCAGTGCATCTGCAGATCACTAAATGATTAGAGAAAAATTTCAGAGACTGTTTATTGCCAAACAAAACAACCTGGACTGACTTTATTATTGCTTGTCAGTCTCTGTAGTATACTATTTCTCAGTGAGACTTTTGGAATTCCAGTGAATTGGTCACTAATACGAAATGGCCATGTAACTTAGTTGTCTCTACAAATTTGGTGATATTCCATGAAAATTCAATGAAACGAATAAATTGTCATAGATTTGTCATTAATTTCCAATGGACATAAACTAAAATTGAAAAATAAAGAAAAACTAATTCGATGAGAATCAAATCAGGACACAAACATTTCTTTAAACTGTTTTCGCAAGCGGCACCCAAACGCGCGCTAGTTTGCTCACAAGTTGGGCTCAAATGGCGAATGTAACTCAGTGTGCTAACTTACCTGCAAAATGATTTTTATTAGGTAAGCAAAATATTCTTGATATAGATTACCTAGTAGAAAGCTAAAAATGTGGGGTACCCAGTGAGGATCGAACTCACAGCGTCTGCGCAACAATCTTGTTAAGTTAAAAAGCAAGGGTAGGCATTTTTTTTTAATTTAACTTAATATTTAAGTTTTGATAAAATATAATAATAATAAACTAATTTCTCTCCCTCTCTCTATCTATCGAATACTTGTTTCCACTTTGGCAGTCGCATATATATATATATATATATATATATATATATATATATATATATATATATATATATATATATATATATATATATATATATATATATATATATATATACATTTTATGACGACGTTAAAAGCGGAAACAAGTATTCGATTATGTTGTGGCTGTCCTCACCGTCTGAAGTGCCGTGTAGCAGCGGAATTTTAAAAAATCAGACAGAAATTTCCGGTAAATTCTTTCATAACGATTTCCCAGCGATCGACTTCCGATTTCGGCTGAGTGCGTTGACTCAACTGACGCTCACGTTAGATTTCACAGAAAATACAAGCAGTGTTCGGATTATTTTTAATATTTTCCGTCTTTTCCACTCGAACAAAAACACATTTTAGATTAGATACGTTTTTATTCGCTGAAAACATTTATTTATTACTTCAGAGTCAATAGTTAGCATACAGACAGTTCCCAATGTAGTGAGTTCGATCCCCAGTGATTGCACTTTTCTTGTGATTTCATGCAAATAAAATTTAAAACGTGTCCTTATCAGTCAACACATGGCCTGTGCTTCGAAGTTGGTCTTCACTTCTGTTTGCCAGGGTTGAGGCAAATAAAGCGATCAAGATTCTATGTTCCCGGCGGGCAGCAGGCCCCACTCGAAAGCAGGGCCGATAGATTGGCTTTTCCCTTTTGGGTTATCACGATCTTTTGAATTTTGGAAGATTTGAAATCATGTAAGTTTTTCCACTGCCTTAACCGGGTATTCTCACTGGTTAGATCCAGTGACAGGACCCAAAGAGTGTGAGTTCAATACCCGGTTAAGTCAGTGGAGAACTTTCAGAGGGAAATTAACAGGAGATAACTGATAACTGACAGCCATCAAACATGGTACGTGGAACTAGAACGGTCTACCCCAGTGAGCGAAATAAAGGGTTCAGTTAGAAATTCCAACCACCTGAAGAAGGCCAGAGTGTACAACGGTCGAAACGTTGTGATAAATATGGCGACAAAGATGACGACAATAGTCCGAATAATGTAAATAATGTACATAATACCTCGTCTCAGAAATATAGACAGACTTTTAAGTTATGACGAATAATATCAGTTGTCCATTACTTTTATAATCTTCTTCTATATGCCGTGTTCCTTCAGCACGTGGACGACCATGGCTCTCCATAACTTCCTTTTCTTTTTTAGCGCTTAATAAGGTCAGATGTATTATTCAATTTAATATGGGCCTGATAGTGTGTGCCAAATGGATTGGATATTCAATTTCAGATAATGTGAGGATTTTTCACCTCATTCCACCTACCGAGGCACATGAGTACCGATGACACATGATGAAAGGTGTCACCAGTGACCACCTAGGATAGCGTAAGAGCAGAACACGCATTTTTTTACGGCCGTGAACAGTAGCGTCTGGTTAGAACCAGCGTCTGCGGTAACAATCAAGACTGTCACAAATAAAATCCACATGCAGTGCAGGTGGTACCAGATGAATATCCAAAGTTCTTTAGTGTCGAGAAGACCCAACTACAGCGTTTCCCACGAGCAAGTGGTGTTATAATAGGACTCTGGGGATCTGGAAACGTATGATCTAATCAAGTGAATTATGATTCTTATTGTATACTGTAGGGTTTGGATAAGGGACAGGTCCCATGAAGACCTGAAACTCCATTGTCCATACGGCTTACGGCCATATCACGTTGAAACACCAATTCCCGTACGATCGACGAAGTTTAGCAACGTCGAGAATGTGGTTGTTTTAATGGCATACAATCAGAGAGTAAGAGGTGCGTGTTATAAGGATATGTAGGATAGATAACGGTTGACCCAAGACTTGAACAAGCTAATATTGTAGTGGTTGAGGAAGCATCATCTCGGGAGTCTATTCCACAATGTAACAGTTCTTCGAAAGAAGCTGTCTTTCCCTTAAATAGTGGAATATCGGGATGAACGTACGTGACATTGCAGTAACTGAGCAGTGCTAATAATGAGAATTAGACAAAATGTCCCTAGACATAAGCATCTGAACCAAAACGATGTACCGCCGTGGATTGAATAAAGGGTTCAGTTTGGAATTCCCTGTAGGCTTACCGGATCGATAAACACCTGATGAAGATCGCACAACGATCGAAACATGATAACAAAGATGAGGGCAATTGTCAGTCTGTAAATAGTGTAAATAATGATAATTCCTCATTCCATAAATTCAAACAAAAATTTAGGTTTTACTTTCAATAACACTATTATTGTTGTTGTTTTTCGTACAAGAATTTTCATTATTTTTTAATTTTGTTTTAGTCTTCAAGTGAGAGAAAATTTCCTTTAATATCCCGTCATTCACCTCGGCATATGTTAAAGGTGTTATCTTCATCGTTACAGTTCTTTGATGGATTTTCAGTTTTGTTTTGGTTTTTTTCTCACTTGTTCCAAGCGCTCTAGTAATAATGATAGTCACAAGCGTTAACTTCATCATCAACAATTTCTCAATCCTTTTTTTCCAAATTTTCCTCCTATTTCAAGTTTACACTGTAAAACTAGAAAGCGTATCCGGTAAATTGCTCGAAATCAATTGCTTGGCAGTAAATTGCTCGAAATCAATTGCTTGGCAGTAAATTGCTCGAAATCAATTGCTTGGCAGTAAATTGCTCGAATAAAAATTTCTCGAACTATCAATTGCTCGAAAGGCTGGTTGCTCGAAACCTGTGGTTAAAAAAAATAAAACTACATTGTTTCTAATATTTACTATAAGATAAAAAAATACAACTTTATTGTTGTTAACTGAACCGTTAAAATTAAAGAACGAGTACATTTATATAGCAGGTATTTTTTTTCTCGAAAGGCAGTTTGCACAAAACCTGTGCTTAAAAAAAATAAAACACGTGCTAATCATTTCCTTTTTTTACACATTTCCAGTAAATCTTATTGTTCACTGTTTTGTCCTTAATATATAGATATATCCATCCAAACACAACTTCTTTCCTTTTTCGCTCTCCAGCAAAAGTTATGTCCATCACTAGGGTTCGAGATCTCCAAAATTATTGAAATAGAAATAGAAAACAAATATATAAAAAAAAAATCAACTGCTAAAGTTGAGTGTTGTGGCTCCTTTTATATTCAGCTCCGTTGACGTGTCGTGAGACGGCGCAGTTTACGTGGTGCTTTGAGCTTCGAAATTATTTCGAACAATCTGCCTTTCGAGCAATTGATAGTTCGAGAAATTATTTTTCGAGCAATTTACCGTTGATCAATTGATTTCAAGCAATTTATCTAGATCCACTATAAAGCAGCAACGTCTGCAATCTGTCATGTCATCATCTCATGAGACCAGAGTTTTTTAATCCAAAATCCCAGAAAATGTTTTCTATTATCTTAAAACAGAGGTTGGTTTGTGCATATAGAACTGGCATGTCTGCTTACAAGTTAGTCGTTTACATAGTTCCTAGTGGATCACACTACCCACCCAGTCAGGCCAATTTTGTACATTTTCAAAGCCAATGAAATATATCGTTTATTATATGATTGCGAGATCTTTCTTTATGCGCCATGTCCTTTCGGGACGTAGACGATCATGGCTCTCCATCTCCCTCTACTCCCTTACAGATCTCAACAAGTTCATTCCCTCTGCCACGTCCTCTAGAGCACGTCCTGTCATCCACTTGCTTAAAGCCGCAAGGTATGTTATGCGTTGTTTTCCTTTGTCTCACTTTCCCTCTATTCGACCCGTCAGTATCAGATTCTCCAGGCCCTCCATCCTCATCATGTGTCCCAGGAACTTCAGCTGCCTCTTCCTGATGTTAAGTATAAGCCTCCTCCTTGTTTGCATCCTCTTTAAGACGGCATCGTTGCTCACACGTTCGGCCCATGATATCTTTAGCATTCTTCTGTAAAACCACATGTCCGTCGCCTCGAGTCTTTTCTTCACCTTTGAGGAAATCGTCCATGATTCGCTGCCGTAAAGGAGAACAGATGTCACGTAACAGCTCAGTATTTTTTTTTCTTTGATACCAAAGAAATGCTCCTGTCTCACAGTACTCTGCCCAGCTTTTGGAATGCGTCCTTGTCCATCCCAATACGTCTACGGATTTCAGTGTTGCATTTAGCGTCCTCTGTCAGAACGCTTCCCAGATATTTAAACTTCTGAGTTTGCTTGATTCTAGTGTTCCCGAACTGCAAATCACATCTCAGGCTCATCTTTTTACTGATGACCATGCAATATGTCTTCTTATTACTATTCATATTATTAGACAATTGTTCCTTTTGTTTGCATGTACGGCAGATACGCATTATGACTTAATACGTCCCCAATCTGTCTGCCTTTCTTTCTTTCTTTCTTTCTTTCTTTCTTTCTTTCTTAATATCTCCGCACCTTTTCTTTTTTTTATTTACTACTAGCTTAAAATGTCGTGCGGATTTTTTAGCTAGCTCCTGTGTAGGGATAATTGGACTTCCAGCATAAAACCTCTGGTCAAACTTAGAAAACAATACTGATAATATCGAAGAATTAACTTTAAATTTCTCAATTCACTCCATGGAACTTCAAAGCTCACTTTAACTCTGATTCGAGCTATAAGTCCAATTCCAATCACACGACCGATTTGGGCCAAAAGTTCGATTTGGGCCAAAAGTCCGATTTGGGCCAAAAGTTCGATTTGGGCTGAAATTCCAATTCAGGCCGAAAAGTGATTTCTTCAAATCAAAAACTCCGTGGAACTTCCATTGTGTTGAGTTCTTCAAATCAGAAATTGTAGAACTTCAAAACCACACGCCACAAATCCTCTCACTTTAATTCTGATTCCATGGCATTTTTTAAATTGATTTCCTCAATTCACAAAGTTTTGAAGATATTTTAAATTGAATTTAAAACATTTTTTTAAATTCACAAAGTTTTTGCATTACTTTAAATTCAACATAAATTAAAAACTTTTAAAATGACTAATTGCTTTCAGTTAGTTTAAAATTTTAATTTTTAACTGCTCCCTCCTCATCCGGGCACAAATCCCAAATGCTGGATGTTCAAGTACCAGATGAAGGACAGATTTTCAATCCAGTGATTATCCAAATTCTAAAAAGGTATAATATGTCTATGTAGAGCAAATGTGTCCCCGAGTTGGGGGGGGGATTCAGAAACACACAGACGGACTTACAGAATTTACCATTTATTTTGGTTATCCCCATTTTTTTCTTTCTTTTGTTTGTCTGACTGTCTTTTCTTCCTGTCTTTTCTTTCCTTCTTTCTTTCTTTCATTCTTTCTTTTTGCTTGTCTGCCTCTCTTTTTTCTTTAATTCCTTCCTTTCTTTCTTCTTTCTTACTTTCGCATTTTCTTTCTGTTTTTCTTTCTTTCTTTACGCCTTTATTAATACCTCTGCACACTTTCCTCTTTCTTTCTTTTTTTCTTTCTTTTATTTATTCATTTACAAATATGTATTTTTATTCACTTTGTTTCTTAATTTGATGTTCAAATTAATATTTTACATGCGTATAATAGCCGTATTCTGTCAGTAATTATCGAAATATACGTGTGGGAATAAAGATGATATCCTTTTTCGTCAAGACTCGTGAAATTTCCAGGGACCAACAGAGTTATTAATACATGAATAATATCATCATCATCATCATCATCATCATCGTCATCATCACCACCATCACCATCATCATCATCATCCGAATGTACATTTTCTACGACGGAATCTTCAATTGAGAATATTTATAAAAAAAAACCTGTTTTGTTATGACAGCTTCTACTTAAATATAAAGCTGTCCGTTTGCGGCCACTTAATTCTCCGTATGCGTATATAAGAGCAAGCAGAACACATAGAGTCTTCCTGATACCTCCATACACGCGCGTTCAAGCGGGCACTTACATTATATAACTTTCAACTGCACGCCAAAATGCAGGGACAATGAGAAAGAAAGACAGAGAGAGACTGTGCGAGACAATTGGGGAAATCTTCTTTTTTTTTCTTTTTTTACAATAAAGTTCACCCTGTACAAGGCTCGGAAGCCACTCGAGGTAGAGTATTACGTTAAGGTGTATTTTATATGGCTAGAAGGGGAAGATAACGTTTAACTCTAGACTTAAAAAGGTTAAGATTGTAGTGATTGGAGAAACATCTTCTGGTGTGTTTGTTCAACATGGCAATGGTTCGCGAGAAGGAGCTGTTTGAGTAGTTACTTCCTACTTTACTGTTACTTCCCCCTAGACGGAATACGGAGAGAATGTGGATGGTTGGCTACTATTTAAGTGGTATGGTGGGTCCTAGCCGTGAATGTTAGACCTGGAGGAACCAAGTAATGTAGTGTTGCCTTGTTGACAGCTGTGAATGATCTCAGCACGGTTTTTTCGATCGGCCGGTGATCAGCGATCACCAATCGTTTCGGTTCGACAATGAAAGACGTTAACAATGAGAGTTTTAACTTATCTATTTTTATTAATGTTGACAGGTACTAAACATGCAGTGGGGCTCGCGTATCCCCTCACCGGGGAGCCATTTCAGACACGAAAGAGAACACGTCTACATCGCTTGACAATCAAGAAACAACTCACTGAAAAATCTTTCGCTATCTATCATTCCCATGCTAGCTCAGCCAATCAAAATCGACTTCTTTATTGTATCTTACATCTGACTCCAAAGATCAATCTCCGGAGTTGAGATATTCTTCCCACTAAAAATAATAGTCTGACAAACTATTATTTAACAGTAGTTCGTCGGAGCACTTTACATGATATTAGCGATCGGGTAGTGAAAGACTCGCCATATCCCGCCGCCTGTGGAATAGAAAGTTAAGAGAGTGAACTGTAATTCTTCTCCAACATGGACCCGGAAACGCTTTTGAATTCTTTCAAGACTGGATGGTGAGGACCGAGCAGCTCTCACCCAAATATGGCAACAGTCCTCCATTTTCGGACTGTCCCAATACACAAATGTACCAGCACAAGTAACCAGTATTGTCCTGGTTTATAAATATACGTCAAAGGAAGTATATCTTTGGAAACAATTGTTTTAAAAAGAAGTTGACAGGCTTCATAAGATGGTTCAAAACCAAAATATCAACAGAAAAACACTCGTGTCATGTTCTTAAATAGCCTCGTCAGATCGAAACTTTCATATTGATGTCATGCATGACATCAAATCCATTCATAAATATCTAAATTTTCAGCAGTATACAAACACTTCCTAAGTTCAATGGAGAAAAAAATGGGGTTTGAACGAGTGAAACATAACGGCCTTGGCAAAGACCATCCTTCTGTTTGTGGACTGGCGCTGTAAATCCACAAGCAAATAAATGTATCAATTAACAGGAACCACATCACTTAAAGACTACCAACAGCAGCAACAATTAAATGGAGAGCACATTTCAATCGAACAGAAAATAGTGATATAATTAAGATGTTGACATTCTAAAATTCTTCAAATAAAAGTTTAGGAAGGAAAACCCTATCAATACTGGAAAGAGCGATATCAGCTACTAGACATGATAAACCTGTTTTCCTAAAAAAAAAAAAAAAAAGTTGTTTTAAAAGAAAGATTTTAGAAATTTCAACCAAAGACAGTACTGACTGCTCGGTCAACAAATGCTAAATATTTCCTTGTAAGGAAACGGCTAATATTATCATATTTTTTTTTCTTTCCTTCTTTCTTAAAATCTCCCCAGTCTTTCTTATTGCTTCCTCTCTTTATTTCCTTATAATATATCCCCACGCGTTGTTTCCGTTTTATTTTTTCTTTCTTTCTTAATATCTCTTCTTTCTTTATTTATTTACGAAAATGTATTTTTATTCATTTTGCTAATTAATTTATGTTCAAATTCATGTTGTTCATCATTTTCTTGTTTATGTCCAACGTTTCCTGGTTATTACAAAACACGTGACTTGCAAATGCCAAACAATCCCTTAAGGAATAAACGAATACACGTTCAATACTAAAAAAGATCATGTGGGACAGTTTTCTTAAATTATATGGAGTGAACACTTGAATTTTAACATCTTTAAGTCTAACGGACGGGGGGTTATATACGCAAAAGATCGGCGAGGAGTGCCAGTCGTATAAACTTTCATTGGAGCAGATGTGAAGGGGAATGTAATGGTTTGGTTCTGTATATCTGAAAAGGTGATTTAGTCTTATCTAGAAATATTGGATAATTTTATGGCGCTAGAGGCCCAAAATCTCCTGGCTCGGTCAGAGATTTTTCAGCATGATATAAACCCGAAACCGCCTACATTGAAGATAATGAGGTTTTTCCTCTATCATCTCAGTCCCTTGGCTTCAATCACATCAAGCACTTATCGACAAGAACTAAAAGTCTTATTTCAAGCAACAAACCCAGACCAATGACATCGATAATAATATGATATAATGTTACGTTTATATCCTTTCACAGGAAACGTAATTATTTTCAAAACAGCTTAATACACACATATATATGTGTGTGTGTGTGTGTGTGTCTGTGTGTCTAGTTATAAAACAGTTATTAATCACAGTTGAATTAGACCAGGAAACAGTTGTATTATAAAGTGCTCAATACACATATAAAGAAAATAAATAGTTAACATGTACAGCTTTTTAATTTAAAAATATTAGCACAATTGGCTGATCTCCTATATATATATATATATATATATATATATATATATATATATATATATATATATATATATATATGTTACAATGAATCATTCATACAAAAAGTAGATTAGTAAAAGTTAATGATATAAAATGGCGAAATCCTTTCGCTAACAAAATTGTATGATCCTTATTTTTTAAAATAAGGATCATAACATAAGGTCTTTCTTTAATACGCAAGTACTTTCGACTGTACATTCAGTCATCTTCAGGCATGGAAATTATTTTGTTTTTTTATAGACAGTTTATAATTTTTTATACAGCTTATAATTTTTTTTATACACCTTATAATTTTTAAAAACAAGGATCATAACATTCATCGAGTGATTTGTAGGTTAATACACAATTTTGTTAGCGAAGGGATTTTGCCATTTTATATCATTAACTTTATTAATCTACTTTTTGTATGAATGATTCATTGCAATATAAATTGAACTGCACCACATATTTGATATATATATACATATATATATATATATATATATATATATATATATAATAACTTTAGCGGAAAGAAGTATGACAAAGTGGAATAAGTTTTCCTCTGGCGTGTTTCGTCCTTTAGGGCTTTATCAAACTAAATTTATACTTACGTTGACGTGAATACACATGCGCTTAAATGTAAATCAACTAAATGACATACCCCAAACACATATTAAACTTTTAAAAAATATAAATTTAAAATTCTCAGCGTCCTCCTTATGTTGTCACATGACCGTTAATATCAATTTAGTTCGCTAAAATTCGAAAACTCGTAACACGAAACTTTTTCCACTTTGTCATACTTTCCACCGCTATATATATATATATATATATATATATATATATATATATATATATATATATATATATATATGGATATGTGTGTGTCTCTGTGTGTATGAATGCAATTCCATAATACTTTAGAAATTACTGTTTTTTGTTTCGGGTAAAAAACAATATCATAGTCGCTTCAAAAGTTAGCAATGTTACTTTATTGAAAAAAGCAATTGGGCCTTGCATTGCTATGATTTTCTTTGGTGGCTAGATGATGTAAAGCCAACCGAGCATAAATATAAGCGAGACACAGGTTCGATACCTGTAGTATGATTCGGTTAAGACTTTCAATTACCTAAGCCGGTAGATATCAATTACACTGTTTCAAAAGCAGCTATATCTCCTCAGAGACATATATCCACTAAATAAAACGCTTATTATATATATATATATATATATTATTATTATTATAAACGTTATTTTTAGTGAGTATATATGTTTGGGTGGCTACCCTTGTTTTTTATGTTATTAAACAGTGAAATTAAGAAAAAATCGATCTCAAGTGAGAAACCTACTAAAATAAGCGTGTGTCTTCAACAGCATCGAATACAAACTTTGCCCTGTAAGACTGATGTCCGAACTGGTAGAGACACACTTTACCTCAAAAAAGGGATGTGCTTTCGATATATATATATATATATATATATATATGTGTGTGTGTGTGTGTGTGTGTGTGTGTGTGTGTTGTCATCCACAGATAGAGTGTTTCGCTGTATCCTAGCTTATCAGTGTGGCTAGACGTCCGGTTGCCTCTAGTTAGGATCGAAATTTCATGGAATAATATAGACATATTGTATCTACTTATCTTTATACTGATCTTTTCCAGGTGTCCAATCATTTTCTTGATGTTAACATGTAATTTATTAAAGAATGTGCCGTAGTTTTGTGGGTTTTCTTCAACCCAAGTACTTTAAACCTGTTGTAAGTTCATCTTCAGGGGTAAATTGTTACTGCCATAGTTATGGGATTTTTTATAAAACAAGCAGCCAGGACTCAACAAAATTTATTACGAATATAGCAACAACATATTAAAGTGCGTATAACATTTATAAACTAATGACATTTTTTATATTTCTAACAATACCCTGTCAGCTCCCTTATATTGGAACGCTTATTTTGTAAAAAAAATTCTGTAAATACAACGGATAAATTTAAAAATTCTAAAGTAAGTATGACGAAGCGCGTTTTCGCGTGTCTTTAAAAATCACTATCATAACGGAATGCAGATTTTATCGCAGCTACAATTTATCCCTGAAGATGGTCTTCAAAAAGGTTGAAAGTACATAGGTTAAAATAAAACTACGGCAACTTCCCTGATGAATTTCATCCCAACCGATCAGACAACCGGAAAAGAACAGTATAAAAATAAGTAGAAACAATATGTCTACATTATTCAATGAAACACGTTTGAATTCTGCATATATATATATATATATATATATATATATATATATATATATATATATAAAAAACTTTTTTCGTACCTAATAGATTGAACGTTTATCTCTTTCTCACGATCATTTTACCAGATCGCCGAAATGAACCCGAAGCGCCGATGCATCAAACCCATTTCTCGGGATCTATTACCGATTCCTATCGAACTTGGTCCAACAAAAACCTGGTTCTCCGAGCTGTCAGGAAGCAAATCAACTCGTCTAACACCCACCACTACGCCGGCTTCGGTGTCAAATCGAAACTAGCCCAACTGAACCCGGACCAATCGAGTTGAACCAAGACCGCTCCAACACCACTGAACTAACTGAAAATCAATAGCGCCCGCTTTTGTTTTCAGAAGAAAAAATTCCGAATGGGCAGACAGAGTTATCTATCAATGTATTGTCTGAATAAATACCGCCATTTTCACACTCCTGCTGCTACTGCTGCTCTTAGTAAGACGTTAGTAACAACGAGTAGAAATACAAGCGACACCAGTTACGGAAATGATGTATGACAACGTGCTACATTCATTTCTTTCATTAGCATAATAAAACATTTTAATGCTATGTTCCTCACATGCCGTACTCTTCTAGTCTCTCTTTATTCAATCTGACAACCTCACCCACGTTCTGATTGTATTGCACAATTTGACGCGGTCATTTCTCGCTGTTTATATTGATTGATAGATTTTCAGGTATGCATATGTGGAAATGAGCGTAGTACAGGTGTTCTGTATCTGTTTGCTGATAGGCATTATATATAATGCTTTACTTGTATTAGACATATATGTTTGTATATGCCTGTGCCTTTGTGTGGGTGTGGGTGTAGATAGATGCAAACTGGTTGGAATAGATAGCGAGTTAGCTAGCTCAATAGATAGATAGATAGATAGATAGATAGATAGATAGATAGATAGATAGATAGATAGATAGATTTGAACAGATTAAGATGGATAGATAGATAGATAGATAGATAGATAGATAGATAGATAGATAGATAGATAGATTTGAACAGATTTAGATAGATAGATAGATAGATAGATAGATAGATAGATAGATAGATAGAAAGTGGTATGAGCTGAAAGATACGAATATATATTTCTACAAGCAGCTCCGTAAGTTAGAACAAGATTAGATCATTAATAGTATATAAATACACCCGCCAATACACTGTTAACACCTACTGTTCCATATATATATATATATATATATATATATATATATATATTGTGTGTGTGTATTTAGGTAGCATTTTTCATTGATGCATGTTTCATTAAATAATCGGACGATATGAAAAGAATTTACATAAAATAAATAGACAAACCTAGTTTATATTATTTAATGAAACATGCATCAATATATATATATATATATATATATATATATATATATATATATATATATGTATGTATGTATGTATGTATGTATAAAGCAGTGTACACCTAAGGCGATAGCTACGTATAAAACAGCCTGCCACTCACTCTGACGTTCCTCGCAATACAAAGTGACGTCATTTACTCTCATCACTTGCGACGCAATATTGATGTCATAACAATGACACCATAGATAACGCCGCATGATGTAATAGGCTCCTATGAGTAATATTGACGTCATTTCGTCTCTCTATTTCTTGCTGTGAAACTGTAATCGACAAGGTGACATCATCGATACATCACTCGCTATATACAGGGATGGAGATTACATGGACACTGACATCATGCCTAAGACGTCATGCTCCTGCTCTCTATGAATATAAGTATATATATATAAGTAAACGTAGTCGGCAATATTGCATCCTATACTTACGCTGATAGATAATCATATCGTTTCACTGTACTGTTTAAAGCAAATGACAGATATCCGTCGAAGCAGTACAGTTTCTTATCACCCCCGGAAAGACAAGTATTTCTGCTGAGTGATGTGACGTCAAGTTGATGTCATGGCTAAGAATGACAAGGAGTGTATGACGTCGTGGTGATATCATAGCTGACGTTACTGGCGCTGAGTGGATGATGTCATGATGGCGTAAGGTGATGTCATTCGTTGGACGAATAGTAGCAGCAGTATGAAGTTTGGAAGAAGCAGATTTATCGACTCTTAATAAAAGTAAGAGATAACAAAGGAAGAGCAGGAAAAGGAATCGATGGCAGTTATATTAGTGGAGGGTGCCATGTGTACATCATTGTAGCAAGATATCAGAGCATGCTTGCATATATCAATCTTTCTATTATCGTGGGAAATATTTGATCTGTTATTTAACTTAAGCTCTACTTGAGCGAAAGTAGAGGGGCGGGTGCTGAGTGGGTATATGCAGAAAAAATAGTGTATACAGAAAGGGTGTAGAAAGAAAGAAAGAAAGAAAGAAAGAAAGAAAGAAAGAAAGAAAGAAAGACATAATGTAACGAGAGTGGACAGCAAAAGACAAAATTTAATAGAAAGAAAAAAAAAAAGAAAAGAAAAGAAATGAGACGTAGACAAAGAAAGAAAGAAAGAAAGAAAGAAAGAAAGAAAGAAAAGAAAGAAAAGAAAGAAATGTGTAACAGTAAAGCGTGTGTACAGGAAATGGCAAGTGAATAAAAAGAAAGAAAGAAAAGAAAGAAAGAAAGAAAGAAAGAAAAGAAAGAAAGAAAAGACATAATGTAACGAGAACAGCAAAAGACAAAATTTAATAGAAAGAAAGAAAGAAAAGAAAAGAAAAGAAATGAGACGTAGACAAAGAAAGAAAGAAAGAAAGAAAGAAAGAAAGAAAGAAAGAAAGAAAGAAAGAAATGTGTAACAGTAAAGCGTGTGTACAGGAAATGGCAAGTGAATAAAAAGAAAGAAAGAAAGAAAGAAAGAAAGAAAGAAAGAAAGAAAGAAAGAAAGACATAATGTAACGAGAGTGGACAGCAAAAGACAAAATTTAATAGAAAGAAAGAAAGAAAAGAAAAGAAAAGAAATGAGACGTAGACAAAGAAAGAAAGAAAAGAAAGAAAGAAAAAGAAAGAAAGAAAGAAAGAAAGAAATGTGTAACAGTAAAGCGTGTGTACAGGAAATGGCAAGTGAATAAAAAAAAAGAAAGAAAGAAAGAAAGAAAGAAAGAAAGAAAGAAAGAAAGAAAGAAAGAAAGACATAATGTAACGAGAGTGGAGACAGCAAAAGGCAAAATTTAATAGAAAGAAAGAAATAAAGAAAGAAAGAAAGAAAGAAAGAAAGAAAGAAGAAAAGATATGTATAAATATAGAAATGAGAGTGTACAGTGATATAAACAAGACGCGTACAGAAAGAAAGACGAGGGTAAATATATATACATAAATAGGGAGTGCAGAGAGCGTACAGTAAAAGACACAAGTGAATAGAAAGAAAGATTCAACTCAGTAAAATAATGTACAGAAAATGAAACAGTGTTTAATGAAAGAAACTAAATCAGGTACAGAAAGAAAAAATGTTATACGACAGGGAAATAACCAAAGGTGTATATGGAAAAAATTAAAAAATGTAAATAGAAAAATAAGGAAAGTCGTATATAGAAAGAAACTAGGATGTACATAAAAAATAAAGGATTTATATTGAAAGGAATTCATATATATATATATATATATATATATATATATATATATATGTGTGTGTGTGTGTGTGTGTGTGTGTGTGTGTGTGTGTGTGTGTGTGTGTGTGTGTGCTCCGAGGAGCTGCATTCGCTGGTTCCCAGACTTCATGAGTTCAAGCGACATACGAGGCTGGCTTCCCACTCTCACCCTTTCACTGTCAAAACTCCTAAATGTAGCCGTCTCTTCTACTCCAATAGCTTCATGTCTCGCACCTCTCGCTTGTGGAACTCCCTTCCCTATTCCAGTTTCCCTGAGAGCTATAATCTCCAACTATTTAAATGTAATGTCAATCGACATCTTCAGTTGCCTTGATCTGTCCACTACACTTCTCCTCATCCTTTCTTCTATCACTCCTATCTGATCTTCTGTAACCCCTTGCGTCCTAGTGACTTCTCGCCTTGCTTGGGGTGTGAAAAAAATATATAAATATATATATATATATATATATATATATATATATATATATATATATATATATGTACTTTGAAAAGTGGGCTCACTTAAAAGTAAACGAGATTCTATATAGAAAGGCAACGCGGCAAAGAGAGAATGACATGAATGTGTACATAGAGAGAATGTAGGATATGTATCAAAAGAATTAGGGAGTAAATCAAAAATATCAATAATCTACGTTAAAAAATCTATGGAGTTACATTTTACTGTGGCCTTAAAAATGGTCATTTTAAAAGATGATATAGTGGGCATCCGTTAATCGCGCTGTATAAAGGTAGCGCCTTGTTTATTCAAAATGTACTACTTTCTTGGCCAAACTTGAGCGCCCTCGCCAGCGCGCAGGCCTGGGTGGTGGTATATAGAGCCCCTCCGCTTCTCAGAGTACATGCACCCCCACTCTCAGTCGTATTGACAGAATCCAAAATAAGACAGAGCATTATATTTGGAGACAGCTTTTCAGTGTAAGCCAACCTCCTTCACTCCGGTTTTTCTATCTGAATTTAATTTCATAGTCTGTTCCGTGGTTGGATATCATTGCGAGGTAGCGGAGGTTTAAAGTCGGGGTTTTCCTTCCCCTGAATGAACTGTCTACCTGAGCTGGTGAGCTCCATCTACTCGAAGCAGCTGGTTATGAGGCGCCAGTTTCCCGCTATATGAATATTACTTCATTCAAAAATTTCCACAGTTACCGTGTTTTGTTTTGTTGTTTTTGTTTTGTTTTTTGTTTGTTTGTTTTTTTGTTTTGTTTTGTTTTGTTTTTTTTTGTATTTGCATTTAGTTGTTTTTGGGTTTTTTTTATTTTTTTTTTAGTTTTGTACAACTAACCTGAAGATCATTTGTCTTTCTGTTTTTGCTTACCTAAGATTATATTTGTCAACTTTCCACTTTCTACTGTCGTACATGTTTTTTATAAATTCATAGTTTAAGCGTATATAGTCATACAATATATCCAAGCATATTTTTAATGTGTGGGGATGAAGAAAAAAGTTAACCGCTTTCATTGCCTTTTCTTCTTTTTTTTTTCTTTTTTTTTGCAATATTTTTCAATTCTCCATTTTACGGTAAGTTATATTTTTCCTTATATTTACTCTTTCTCCCCCTTTTAATATGTTTTTTTTTTAGATATTATGCGAATATATATACTTTTAAACTATCCATTTTTACAACCATAATAAGGGTGAATCATGAAAGAAACTAAATGTATAGGAAAGAAATAACGATCTACATAGAAAGAAACTTGGTTATATATTGAAATTAAACCGAATACACAGGGAAATAAATAAAGATATACGTAGAAGTGCTTATCGATATCTAAATACCTTCGTAGTACGCATAATAGGCACGGGAGATATGAATTGGTTTCATCATGATGAGCCAGGCAGCAAAAGAACATCAATAGGGAGTTGTCCCCCAAACACACACATAAATAAGACCTTTGAGACAATATGCTCTGCGGGGAAAATGATGACCACCGTGTTATGAGTTCAAAAGAGTTTCATACTCTTAGAGCCAATGATCAATAGTAAAACCATGAATTCTAACCATTACGCGTGTACACTGTCAAATTTGCTCATTTGCACTATAACGATACAATGACAACAACGCCATAAAGATCAAACTGAAACTGCATGCCTTATACATTTTACATTCCTGACCTAACACCTTCGGGCCTTAATCAACTTTGGCTCATGAAGGAGACCCCCGGAAGACAATGACGTTCCAATGATGAGCTGAAAGAAGCAAGTTGTCTGTTGCCAAGAAAGGTTGCTACGAAGCGACTATACTCGTCAGGTAAGATTTGCGTTGCTTTCCTGTCACTTTTACCTGCAATCTGTCCTATGAGTATCAAATTTTCTAAGCCCTCTTTCTTCATTATGTGTCCCAGACATTTCAACTGTCCCACTGACTGATGTTAAGTATAAGTGTCCTTTTTGTTGCCATTGTCTCTAGAACTTCGTCGTTGTCCCCATAATTCAAGGAGGTAATACCATGATTCCGAAGAAAGGAGACTGTTGAAGATTTGATGGGAATCATGAGGAATTTATATTCATTTCTTTAATGTGCTTCAATGTTGCATTGCAGGTCAGACCAGACTCCAGGTTCATTGACAGGGTACAGTTTATTGTATTTAAACGCTTGTGGCTTAAAATGACCTTTCGGCCATATCGTTACCCACGAATGAAGAGTAAAACAATTTCTAGCAATAAACCGGAATTTATTCTTAGGTAGTAACTTACTTAAGCGAGCGAATTAGTGTTGAGGCGTAATTGAGATTTGCGCAGTTCAGTAGCCGTCGTCTATGTCCGTTCTGTGAGTCCCACATCGTTGCTTCTGTTAGCCTTTTCACGCGGTGGTCAGTTTTATAAACAACAATTTTCTTTGTCTTGTCGTCTAAAGCCGTAATTAATCTTGCTTCCGTCACTTTTTCTCAGTCCGAGCCTCTTCCTCTTGTACTTTGAAGTTGTATCCAATTACTGATAACCATCGATAAATGTTCTGTATCGTGTTGTGCAACAGGTTCCGCTGTTTTAAGTTTAACAAGACCACTTGGCAGTACCTGGTACTGTAAAGTTTCATTACTCTAAACCTTAAATTAAATACATACATAATGACAAAAAGTAATTTGCTTGTCAGGATGGCTTCCCTTGGGCTAATTTGTGAGTCATACTCTGGCTTAAAAGTAGTTTCTCTACAACATGGATAGATTCAATTCCTTTTCAGAGGCACATATACTTTAGTAAGACTTCTCCGTCTCTACGCCGGTAGAGATTCATTTCAAACTGGGATGTCTACTGAAACACTTGTATCCGATAACTATAACGTTTAACATTCATTTATTCAGCTAGAGCATTTTGTGTCCATAAACCTTCAGCACTTCCTGATTCCGAGCGATGTTAAGCAACGTTGAGCCTAGTCATTACGTAGATGGGTGATCCCTTTGCAATACCTGATACTGTAAGCATTGATGTTTGGGCGGTGTAATGGATAACGGAATTGTAAATCAGAGAGCCGAGTTCCAGTCCCAGTCGCGTTCGTTATATTTACTTACGAGCAAATACCCGTGGGAAAGTTACGAATCCGCATCTTCTCCCCTTCCCCAAGCTATGGGTTAATTAGTAGAACGTGTGTCAGTAAATTATTATTATCTAAAAAAAAAAAGAAGACATTCTTACAATCTATAAATATTTTCTGGCTTAAATAACTCGCAAAAGGTTGTTAAGCAATCAATCAATGTTTTTGTTGCCATTTCGGTCAACGAATAAAAAAACGAAAGAGAAGGACAGAAAATGCAATAAACAAAACCCAAATAAACCAATATTACGAGAATTTGATTGACTTTTTTTTTCAGCCAATCAAATTTTTGTATCTATTCTATTGGAGAAGGGAGTGAGGAAATCATTGGCTGTCATATGAATTGAGTAAAGAGAAGAACGATGACACAGGTTGTGTAGTAATGTCAGTAAGATACAAAATTGGACATTTATCGATAAAAGAAAACCAAATATGTCGTCCAATGTCCATGAAAGTGACCAAAGAAAAAATGTTAGTATTTCTCTATGCAAGAAACAATACCGCGATCAGTAATGGCTGCAAAACTTGCTCAGATTTGTTCAGATCAGGACTTTTAATCTAATTTATATAAGACATTGCTGATTATTTTTTCTAGTTAATGTTAGTGCTTCAATCAGGTAGACATTAAAACACGAACACAAATGTTAACGGTTACTTGCAGGTTCGAGCGCAGATTATTCTAAGGTCAGATATTCTCTCTCTCTCTCTCTCTTTCTCTCTCTCTCTCTCTCTCTTCATTACTCTCTTTGATTTTCTTTTGCTTCCTCGTACACTATCTTTCCCTCTTTCTTTGTTAATCTTTCTTCTTCGCTTTCTCTACTTTCAGTTAAGCTTTGCATATGTAAGAAAATGAGAGAGCGAGAGAAAAGGAAGAAAGATAATGAAAGGGCGAAAAATAGAGAGAACGGAAACGGGAAAAAGAAAAAAAGAAAAGAAATTGGAGGATGAAAGAAAGAAGGTGGGGCGGGGAAAACAGAAAATGTAGATGACAGAGAGAAAAACAGAGAAAGAAAGGGAGATATAGAGAAAAAAAGAAAGAAAGATTCAAAGAATGAAAGAAAATAAGAATGTTAAAATTTGGAGAAAAAAGAGAGTGATTATAAAGAGAGAAAGAAAACGAGAGAGAAAAAGAAAGAAAGAAAGAAAGAAAGAAAGAAAGAAAGAAAGAAAGAAAGAATGAGACAGGGAGAAAAATAGTGAATTAGAGAAAAAGAGAGAGACATAATATGAGAGGGAGAAAAAAAGAGAGAGAAAGCGAGAAGGAGAGAAAAATTGGAATGGACAAAAAAGAGAAAAGGAAATTGAGCGAGAGAAAAACTGCAAAAGATAATGAAAGGGAAAAAGAGAGAGGGAGAAAGAGCGATTGAATAGTGGGAAAGAACAGAGGCCGAAATAAAAGGAGGAATAAGAAATATAAATGTGGGAAAGAAAGAAACCAAGTGAGAGGAAGAAAAAGAATGCGAGAGAGAAATCATCGTAAAAGGAGTTTATCAGACGTGATGAACTATTATTGTTTTCCATAAATAATGCTGATCAGATTTTAAAAGTCACTGCCATATTCGGAGGCTGCCACCAAAGGTATATACGTCTATTTGTATGTATATGTCTGAAAGAGAGAAAGAAAAAGAAACAAATTGATAGAATTAGTGTACTAAGGAAAAGAGCATAAGAAAGAAAGAAAGAAAGAAAGAAAGAAAGAAAGAAAGAAAGAAAGAAAGAAAGAAAGAAAGAAAGAAAGAAAGAAAGAAAGAAAGAAAACAGAAAGAGAAAGTAAAAAGAAGACTAGTACAAGAAAGAAAGAAAGAAAGAAAGAAAGAAAGAAAGAAAGAAAGAAAGGGTAAAAAATATGAACAAGAAAGAAGCAAAGAAAGAAACAAAGATAGAAACAAAGAAAGACAACTGTAAAGATAAAAGAAAGAAAACAACAGGAAAGGAAAAATAAACAAACATAAGAAAAAGAAAGTAAAAAAGAACATGAGAACAAGAAAGAAAGAAAGAAAAAAAGAAAGAAAGAAAGAAAGAAAGAAAACAGTTGGAAAGAAAAAGAAAGAAAACAACAAGAAACAAAAAGAGAAAGTAAAAAAGAAAGAAAGAAAGAAAGAAAGAAAGAGAAAATAACAATAATTTTTTCTTTTTTTCCTCTTTCTTTCAGGAAGGTGATATGGAATGAGTGCTTTGGTTAGAAGAAAGAAGACAAAACAACACGAAACTGATCCGAAGAAAAAAGGAAAAAGAAAGCACTTAAATATAAGAACCATGTCATAAAAAGAAGAAAAATTGAAAGGGAATATTGAAAACGAATGAAAATTCTGGTTGCAGATAATGAACGACCTTGAAAACTAATAAAGCGTTCAAACAAGAAAAGAAAAAAATTGCTGAAGAGGCTGACGGCTTGGCGTCTGGCAATTTCAAAATTGAGGGAGATTTGCAGGAAATGAGAGAAAGAAAAATGTTTGTCTTTCAACGGAACTCTTTCAAAATATCCCAAAATAAACCTCTTCGAAATTAATGAATTCTTCAATAAGGTTGGTCAGGAAGTGGAGTAAACAGATTTTGAGGAGAGGAAAAAAAAGATATTCATATCGCACTTGCTCGTCATCTCGAAATTTATACCGACATATATCAATAGAAACGTAGCCTGAAGGATATGCGCGTGACGTGGGGGTTTTCGACACGAGAAATGGGTGTTCTAATAACTTGGAGCGATTTTAATGTGAATTAAGTCTAAGCGTCTAATGATTTTTTTTCTTTTTCTTTCGGATTTGGCGAACTTTGGGGCGATATTATTTTTCACACATAATTGCCATGACTTAAATAACATGATCCAATAGAGAAATAAATAAATTTTCACGAATAACACTGATTTATTTACAGATGACTTTGATCCGCCTTAATGAAACACCCTTCTATATAATCCGTCTTAATGAAACACCATATAGAATCGTCGAACCGGGTTCAAATTCTGGTTAACTTTGTTGCGCTCACTATCGCGCAAATACGTGTGAATTTATTTTTCTGCCTCCAGCTATGGGTTAAATATTAAAGCAGGCTGGGCCTTAACTTTCGTTGTCAAGCAGTCAAAGAAAATTATGAATTACAGATTGGTTGGGCTTGCAATTCTACCTTACTTGCTATAGAAAACCTTGTAAAACCTTACTTGCTATAGAAACGACAACAGTAACACTTAGCATGGTGTAGCCGGGCTCCTGGTGTGGAGTGAATGTGGCTCTAGTGTGGTGAGGTTGTGGCCCTATTCTTCCCCAGGAGATTTTAATGACGCTGAGGAGGAGAAATCATGAGAAATGCGATTATATTGCACAAAATATTTATTTTTGAACATAATTTCTTCCTTGACAATGCATTGGTTAATATAAGTCACATAAATTGAATTCTATACAGTGAAATTTTCAGATCTATATTCAGCTACTTGTCAGACAAAGGAAATATTAACCTATTTTTATATATATATATATATATATATATATATATATATATATATATATATATATATTTTTTTCTTTTTCAATACTTACTACTCTTTCTATATTCCTCTGTCTATCTTTTGACTTTTTTCTTCCTTTATCTCTTTTCTCTCTCTCTCTCTCTCTCTCTCTCTCTCTCTTTACGAAAATAAATCTTTCGACTCGGCGAAGATATTTTTATTCGACGTTTACTTTTCAGCTAATTTTTGACAAGATGATTTCCAAATCGCTTCAGGGTTAATTTTCTCACAGCAACAAGCTTTCTCCTTCTCTCACTATGTCCCACAAAGGGAAAACCAATTTTTATTCAGTTAAAAACGCAGATAGATAGATAGATAGATAGATAGATAGATAACACGTCATTCGAAACACAGTGATATCTTACTAGGAGATATTATTCAAATATATCTAGATACATGTATGTGTGTGGTTGGAACGAACCCTGAGGGTTTAACAAAGATATTTCCTTAAAATATTTAATTACTTTCAGATGATTGGTTTTTCATAGAAGTTTTACGCACATGCACAAACACACGCACACACACGCACATATATATATATATGTGTGTGTGTGTGTGTGTGTGTGTGTGTGTGTGTGTGTGTGTGTGTGTGTAAAAAGTGAAGTTGTTAGAAATGTCTTGTATACAAAATCTTGTACAGAGAAAGTAAGATTTGGATTTATATGTAGTATTTATAATACATGTATTTTCAAGGTGAAATATTAAAACTAAGTTGTGTTACTTACTAGTGAGGTTTTGGTTTGTTTGTTTTGTTTTTTGTTTTGTTTTGTTTTTTGGGGGTTTTTTTTAAGCGTTTCACCCCAAGCAAGGCGGCAAGCCACTAGCACACAAAGGGTTACAGAGAGTTGGAGCGAGAGCAAATAGGAGTGATAGAGGAAAGGATGAAGAGAAGGATAGGCGATAGATCAAGGCATCTGGAAACGTCGATTGACATTACAGTAGAATAGTGGGAGATTATAGCTATCAGGGAAACAGGAAAAGGGGAGCGAGTTCCACAGGTAAGAAATGAGAGACATGAAGCTATTGGAGTAGAAGAGACGGATATATTTAACAGTGAAAGGGATGAGAGCGAGATGCCAGCCTAGTTGAACGCATGAATTCATGAAGTCTGGGAACCAGCGAAAGCAGCTCATCGCAGCATTTACCATGAAAGTATTTGTAAAAAAAAAGACAGAGGGAGGCGACGGAACGTCTGTGAAAGAGAGACTGCAGACGAGATGCCAGATCAGGGCCAATTACATTGCATATCTGTCTCTAGATTTTATTAAGAACCTTGAGACAAACAGAGGGGGCTCCAGACCCTATATGGCAGCAATACTCCATGCAAGGGCGAATGGTTGATTTGTAGATTTGAAGAATCGACTCCGACGAGAAAAATTTTCTGGCGCGTCACAGACAGCCAACTTTCCTTGCGGTGGACGAAGCTATTGACTCAATGTATTCGTTCCACCTCAGGTCAGCAGACAATGTGAGACCGAGCAGTCGCAAAAAGGTGCTCTCGGAGTTGAGCGTCAGACATTTTAATTTGGGGTCAGGGATGGTTCTCTGTGGTAAGTAATAGAGAGCGGTTCAATTTTTGAGGCATTAAAGTTAACCAGCCAATTCCTGCTCCAAGCCACAACCGATTGGAGGTCCTTTTAGAAACAAACGGCCAAGTTAGTTTTGTTGTTGACACTAGATTGGTTTTTGAGGCAAGAGTAAATAGGAGTGTCGTCCGCGTAGATGCCAACTTGGGAACCTATGACGTCAGGAAGGTCATTGATGAAGATAAGGAACAGAGTAGGGCCTAGGATAGAACCTTGGGGAACATCTGCGTTCGTGGGATAGGAACTGGAGGAGAGTCCGTGTCTCGAAAAAATGAAAAAATCAAGGAACGTATGTGGTTAGATGTGTTGCTTATGCTAAGGAAAATATGATAGAATCTATTTTGAGGGACGTGCCTCTGCTTTATGCAATGAATTGAGTATTGGTTTAAACATGTTGATAAAAAAATATATTTTTTTATTAATACGCTTTTGTTGGGTGATTTTGTAGTCGCAATGGTAGAATGGGAAAATATTCAAATTTCGCAGAATTCGTCTTCTGTATTCCTCTATATGTTTGTTAAGTGGTATTTTTCTGGTGTGGGGATCCTTAATTTGTTGGCGAGGAACTGCCATTCATTTTCGGAGTGTCTGTCCTGTTTGGCCAATGTAATGTTCGCGGTAACCTTTGCATGTTATTATGGATATTAAATTCTCTGAGTTGCGCGAGAAATCATCTTGAATTATGAATTTGGATCCGTCTCTGAAGTGAAATTCCTGGCTTTCCAGTAGATAGCTGCATAATCTGAAAAGGGGTCAGTTACATCTTTTCACCTGAGGCTCTTTAATTTTGTGCTGAAGTTTTGCACTCGGCAGAATATTTTTTTAGTGATTTTAGTTGTCGTTTACATTTTATGATTGGGTAGTTTTGTAATAGCTTTTTTCATTTTTCGTCCTTTAGTGGGATTGGTAGATTTAGTTGTATATGTGTGTGTGTGTGTGTAGATTTGTGTGTTCTTTGGTTTGAAAGTTGAGTTATAAGAGACGACTTCTTTTTTTGGTTCTTGGAGTGTGTGGATATTAATTTGTTTTGCCTTTGCAATGCTATTGTTGATTAAACTTTGATGTTATTTTCTCTTGATGACTATTTTCCATCGCTTCTTGTCTGTGATCTCATGTTGTTGTGTTTGAGACTATTGTTGTGTGGGATGTTTGTACAACATCCATGAGACTATGTAAGTATTATTGTTTACCTTGTTTGGTCGTTGGTTAAGAAAATCTAGAACATGTTTGCTGAGAGGTTTCAGTAGGATGTCTAGGGAATTACTTAGGCGGTGTGTCTTTCAGATTGGGCCTGCTATTATAGGTCTTAGTTTTAAGTTAGTTGGTGTGGTTATAGTCACACAATCGGCATGTTTCGTTGATGATTTTATTTATGTGTACTTTAGGTAATCCATAAAGATTGCTTGTTTGACATCTAAAGTTGGTAAGATAGGAGTTAGACAGCTTCAGTATAGATGTATTAAATTGGTGAGGTTTTTTTCATAACTTTATGAGGTTGGTATTGCCTGGCTTCTTCATAGTCGGTCTCGTCCTGTACCATATTTTGTATGATGTTGGTCTATTTATGCGTTGAATTGATGGTGGTTGTCTTGGGGAATTTCTGATTCGCTTTTTGTCAAATGTTTCTTTCTAACTTAATACCTAGCTGAGGTTTTTGGAAAGTACATTTTTCTATTCTATATCACACCGAATAAAACGGTGGCTTTCACTACAAGGGAGAGGCAAGTTCGGACCATGTCGGAGCGCTAATTTTCTTTATCAAGTCTCTAGAATGCGCAGGTCGATGGATGTAATTCATATTGCTTTAATAAAAAAAATAACAGGGCGTTTATTCAAACATGTGTATCCACAAAAGTAATGTTTAGAATAATAACAAATATATGTTTCTATACGTGGGTGAGCTTAAAAGTGGTCGGCCCGAACCATTTCGCAAAATCTGAACTTCTTATAATATTTAGATATAATAGGCCGGTGAAAGAAATTCGAGAGATAAAAAAAAACAACAAAAATAATAATATTGATATTAAGACTAATAATATTTATTTACATTATTTACATTGTTCGGACTGTTGTCCTCATCATTATTGTCATATTCACGACGCTTCGGCCATTGTACGCTCCGGCCTTCTTCTGGTGATTGGAATTTTCATAATATTTACTGTAATAATCCTTCGACAAAATATTCTCCTTCATTTTTTACGACATCCTGTCAACAATCCACCAACTGCTCAAGGCCTCGACGAAAGAAATCACTCGGTTTTACTTCGGAAAATTCATCAAGCCACAATTTAAGTCCCTCGTCGTTGTTGAACGAAACACCCTTCAAATTGATAGAACACCACCGAAAAGTGTGGTTGTCTGAAGGAGCTAAAGCAAGAGAGAATGGTGGGTGTGGCAGAACTTCCCAAAACGAGCTCTTTAATTGCATGTTTGATCACGTTAACGACGTAAGGGTGAGCATTGTTATGTTGAATAATCACACTGCATCGCTGGCCTGGTCTATTCAGTTGAATTGCCTCTTTGAGTTTGTTCATTTGTTCAACATATAGCTTAGCAGTAACCGTTTGGTTGTTCTGGACTTTACCCATAAAGTGATGATGACGAACGACAGTAACATGAGAACTTGGGATCTTCTGCACCAATTCCCTTGTGCTCTGTTCTGGTTTTTCTTCAGTCACTGCGGGCAATTGGTTCTCATCAAACTGAACAGGTCGGCCAAAACACGGAGAGTCTGTGAATTCGAACTTTCCCGCCTTGAAATGGGTGAACTTTTTCTGTACTATTTTGTACCAAAATTCCAATAGAGTTAGTTTTGTGACTCAACTCGACACTTTTAAAATGCCAACGAATGCTCGTTGTCACTTTCATTGTAGTAGAGACTTTGTAATCGCAGATTACAATTATAGTAACGCTGTTGAACAATACTTGTGTCAGACGCCTTCGAATAACACTCGCACTAATACTGGATCGAAAAATAACTACTGAATAGTAATCCGTATAGTGATCAGTATAGAGAAAAAGTATAGTGAACAGAGTAGAGAAGAGCGGTTCGTATAGTAATAGAGAAAGGACTAGAAATGGCGATCACTTAGACGTCACGTGACAGCCTACATATGCGTTTCCTCTATGGTCACGTGGGCTACTTAATTCAATAATGGGATCGCCTGTGTTTGCTCACTGGCGATCTATGTTCAAACGCAAGTGTCGGCAGTGACTCTTTATTCCTGTCTGACAGTTAGATAACAGTTTAACAGGATGACCAGAGTTATTAAGAAACAAAAGATACTGCGAAAGATGATTCTTGGAGATCATTCGTAGAACATCAGAAATACAAAGAACAAATATATGTAACAACCCAATAATATCATCCCTCCCATCTGGTAGTGAATGATGGGCAATTTCTTGAATTCTGCAAAAGGATAGTGAGAATAACATGGCGGCAGCTTGTGATTAACGAGAAAGTTTTAATGAAAACAGAAACAAGATCACGCGTGCGCAGTATTTAGATCTCTTCAAAATCTGTTCTCGCGAGAGATCATCTATGGCCCATTGAAAAAAATCATCTCACTAATAATGTACCGGGCTGAGAACTGATGCCACCATCTTTACCTATTTAAAATAACTTTTTTAATGACTTTCTACCCGCTCTGTACGTCTCTCACTTTCTTTCGAGAATAAGCAGTCTTTCGTCTTTCTCTTTTTATGCAGTCACTTTAAATACGCATCACATCTCATTCCTGGGAACACGATATGTTCT